GTAATATTACATTAATACAGCTTCCTTGAAAGAATTTAATTGAAACTGGGATATTAAATCAATTCAGACTCAGAAATGCACAAGAGATAATTTCTTGGATTATGTGGCTGATAAAAAGAAGAAAATCAATCATACTCAGTTAGAAACTTCAATCACAATAATTAAAATCCTATTTTGCACTAGACATAGTGTATAATTAAGACGAATAAAATTTCACGAAAGTAAATTGAAATATGAAATTGGATATAATGCAGCATACACTGAATGTAGTATCATTTTACATTAATCAAGCTTTCGAGGAAGCTATATTAATAAATATAAGGAATTTAATTGAAAGTGGAATATAAAATGTATGTCACACATCTATAGGTGCGAATATGTGTAGTTTAGTACATTCTGTTACGTGCTCATTCCTTTTTATTTTTGAATATATATGTGTTGATATAATAAAGGGGCGATGTCTGTAAGAAAGGGATGAGTGGGACAAGTATGCATGGGATGCCAATATCTAATGGTTCAGATTATCGTGATAAACGAGTATGCGTGTAATGATCGAGATGTTGCGTGAATTGTGTATGTTCATGTAATGTATGAAAGTAGAAAGAACAAACCAGAGAGATTGAAAACGAGTATGCGTGTAATGATCGAGATGTTGGGTGAATTGTGTATGTTCATGTAATGTATGAAAGTAGAAAGAACAAACCAGAGAGATTGGGCATAGGTCAGTTGTAATTGAGTTGCAATAGTGAAAATAGGTATGAGCATGTGATTGCGAGAAATTAATTAGATTTATACTTAATATTTGTGTTTCATCATTTTTTTAGAATCAAATAAAGAATTGTTCTTACCGTTATTGATATTTCATCCATCACTAACAACTCGTGTATGAAAATTAAGGACACTCGAATGTAAGAGACTTAATATAACTTGACAGTGAAGGATTCGTGGAAACATGGTCATACTTGAATAAAATCCATCTCATTAATATAATTTGATTAAAAATCTAACCCTTAAATCTTCCCTATTTTGACTCGTAATCTACCCGTCACAGGTTACATCGAGCCTAACATAATATAATATTACTTAACATAATTAATAAAGAATGTAACTCTTCGTCCTCACTATGCCTCAAAATTTATTCGCCCTGGGTTACATCAAACCTAACACAATTTGATTAAAAGTTCAACTTCTTGACAACAACCCTAAAATTTTCTTTATTTTAACTCACAATCTACTCGTCACAGATTACATCAAGCCTAACACAATGTGATAAAGTATTCAACTTTTCGATAACTACCCTAAAATGGTTCCCACTTTGCCTCACAATCTACTCACCCTAGGTTACATCAAACCTAGCACATCATTTCCCCTAACACAATTTAATCGAAAACAAACCTAACATACTATCACATCACCTAACACGATGTGATGAAGATTCCAATTCTTCGACAACTACCCTAAAATTTTCTCTATTTTGATTCACAATCTACTCACAAAGAATTACATCAAACCTAACACAATGTAACGAAGAACTCAAATTTTCGACAACTACCCTAAAATTGTCTACACTATCTAATCTAAAATTGTTTGCCTCACAATCTACTCGCTCTAGGTTACATCAAACCTAGCACATCATTTCCCCTAACACAATTTAATCGAAAACAAACTTAACATAATATCACATCACCTAACACGATGTGACAAAGATTCCAATTCTTCGACAACTACCCTAAAATTTTCTCTATTTTGACTAACAATCTACTCACTCTAGGTTACATCAAACCTAGCACATCATTTCCCCTAACACAATTTAATCGAAAACCCAATTCTTCAACTTATCCTAGAATTTTTCCTACCTTCTCCCACAAAATCTATTCATCCTAGATTACATCAAACCTAACCCAATTTGATCAAAAAATCCAACACTTAGTAACCCCAAAATCTACCTTACCCTGTCCTACAATGCACTTTTCAGGTTATGAACATCAAACCACGAAGGTTTACATCGGTGAAACGATTCCATTCCTAAACGTTATGAAACCCTGTCCTTAAAACGAAAGTGAAACGAATAATACGACAGCCAAATACCTTCTAATGACAATCAAATCTCTTCTTAATCGTTCGAGGAATCGCGCGAGCTTTCTTTGAAGAATCGAGCGGGGAAGGCCCGTGGCGCGGCCACGTGGCGCCCTCTCGCTTTTCGACGGGCCCGCGCCGAGATAGGAAGAACGGAAAGGACTTCGTTCTGGAATTTCTGTGCCGGACATTGTGCAACCGTGCACACTCGAATGGATTGTACGCCTATTACAAGGCGGTACAAGGCATTCGCTTTCATTATGGAAAGTATTTCTGCCTGGGATCAGCCCGTAAAGGGCTATCGTCGCGGTTCCCTTTTCGTCCACGCCCTCGTTCGCCTCTTTAATCGTCAACGCGCTTTCGAAATGTAGCGTGCGAGCACTGCGGGCTCGAAAAATTTTCGAACGATGATTCAGGCCTTCGAGAACCCGCGATAGCAATGGCCATCTAGATGGCTGGAAGAAAGGCGTTGCGAGAAATGGAATGATCGAGAACAAGGATCGAAGGGTTCCTGTCCAAAACTATCTTTGTCGATTTTAGAAAGTTTCCAAGAGACAAAGAAAATATTTTGCCATCTTCAATTTCTTTCTTTAGAACTGGTGAATTTTTGTAAGTATTCGGATAATCGAATGTTTGGATAACAAGTGTTCGATTAATCGAGATCCTGTCATATTATAATTCAGGATACACGTCATTTTATTATTATTATTATTATTATTATTTTATTCATAAACGGACCGTAGCCCATTTACATAAAATTTCACACATAAAAGGAAAACAAACAAATTATACATAATATAACACCGATTGAACGTGCTTATAAACGATTTGTTCAGGAGGAATAGCTATAATCAATAATCATCCGTAATTGTCTTTTGAAAGTTTGTAAAGACCCTTAAAACATCTATACGATTATAAAGACTGTTTGAGTCAGTAATAATACCATAAATTGGATTAATTAATCCGTACGTAGATCTGGACATAGGTATATGAAAACCTGCTCTAGATCTCAATACACGTTCTGGCACATAGAAATTAATTTGCGTAGGAAAAGAGCAGCGATCAATGTGATTATTAATTAAATCAAAGATAAAACTATGGTCAGCTATTCTTCCTCGTGCAAACAATGTTTCACGGTTAACAGTGTTTAACATCGGGGAGAAATAATCAAAAATTGATATTGGGTTATTTAACTTATATGCACGAAACCAGAATTTTTGTCATATCCATTCCATGATGGCGTGAATCCTACTTTTAATAATTAAAATATTATTATTTAAAAATACAAAATATCAAGGTGGTTGAATATCGTCGTTTTTTGAATTAACATATTAATTGAAACGTTCTTAGATGCCACGTGATAGAATGGTAAAATGGTTGACTGTTGGTTAGGCTTTGTAATATTTTGAGGTTGCTAGTTGTGTGTGACGAGGAAAGTGTTGCTGGCATTGTTTGGATTATGCTTGTCCAAACTTCCTGGTTTTCTGCGATACGGATATTCGATGAAGCGAGCAATATTTTTGAAATCGATAAAGTAAAATTTTCCTTGAAGAATTGCAATGAAATCTCTCATAAAATTGAGTGACTCATTATTCAATGACTCATACACAGCAATGTACAGATACTACCTGTTATATTATGAATGAAGAGATATAACATTTTGTTTAAAAAAAGTAACTGATTCTTGAAAACTTCCATATTACTCCATAAATATTGCTGCAAAACAATTATTTGCATCTTGCAGTCTGTATACCAAGCAACTTTTGCAACAGTTTCTTTTCATACTTTTATGTGCTTAGGAGATATTCCTACATTTTCAGTTAAAGCAGACAGAGCAGGAAAATTTGAATGGATTTATTGTGGAAATGATGTGAGATGTGCAGATAGTCTTTCTGTGTCACTATTATCCATTCATGAGTATGAATATGTTCAGTTGTAAAGTACAGTTACTCCTTTCTTCAGAATGGGATCTGATAGTTCGTGTTTTCTTTGATCCAATTTTGTGTGTTCTGAATGTTACACAATATCAGGAAGCTGATTCTAGACTTGCTAACAGAGAGTTATTTCCTCTTTTGATGATTACGCTTATGCAGCTACTTATGCATACGTATGCAATTTACTCCTAGTAGAGAGAAAATGACTCATATATAGAAACATAATTTGAAGTAAAAATGAAATATAGTATATTTGATATGACTACTTTCATTAGAGAAAAGAAATAATAAATATATACTTATCGTATGAATATAGAATATAAGAATGAACGATCTAAAAATTTATTAGGATCCGAGGGTTGGAATGTGACCAAAGGTACGAGATAAATCTACAGGAAATTGATCCAGGACCGGAAATATCTACCTGTGATTTTTAAGGTGTAACACACGTATACGTTTCTCTGTTTAAAGGAATACACCTTTTCTAATTTAAAATTTTATTTCATTATAGTTTCTATTATTAAATATTAAAAAATCCTATATATAGATAATTATTCCTATTGTAAAATATTTATTACTACGCAATCTGCAAGAATTATTAAAATGATTATTTTCCTATATAATCGAAATTTTATTTCATAATTGATAATAATGATCAATATTAATGACTTTTTAGCTGAAATTTTAGTATATTTAATTTAATTTAGTACGCGAAAAAGAATTAAATAATAAATAAAGCATAAATAATGAGAATAATAATAAGAATAAATAAATAAAGTGAAATAATAAATAAAGTAAATACTAAATTCCTATATATTACAATATGGTGATGAATATGGAATGAATATAATGAACATAGCAATGAACAATATGCGATCCTAAAAATTAATAAATGCAATAAACTAACAATATCCCCACTGATGTTCTGTTTTATGTCATTTGATCTTCAAAAAAATATTGGACAGGAAACCAGATTATATGGAAGAGATAATGCCCATACATGGAAATGATACCTTGGATTTGGAAAAACTTCGCGAAATGGCAAAAATCGCCAGTATATACCACAGAGACAGACGGAAATTCGTACGAAATAGAAATCTTTCTCACGTGGTACACGCTGGCCTACACGTTTTCCAATCCGTAAGAAATCATGTTATTACATTCCTAAAAACATCTAGCAAAATTACTTGAAAATGACATAATGATTCGAGTAATTTCAGTTAAAAAAATATATATCTCATATAACAATATAACCTCAAATTTCAGGTTACGAATTCACATACCTATGTATCTGAATATTTAATTGAAACTCGATTCTACATTTTATTTTTACGGTATTTTAGACTTCCGATGTTACTAAACTTATTTGGAAATATCCTGCAATAAATCCGCACAAAATATTCGTACTTCGTATCCCAGGAAACATTGTCACTGTAATTCTAACCTATAACCTATAAAATCCATCCACGAGAACACGTCAGATCTTGCAATATCTCCCCGACAATATATTATCACGCGAAACCTGAAATTGTATTATTTTCCACATTGGTCGTCTGTTTTATCTAGTACGTGAGAGATAATTCGCGGAACGGCGAAAAAGTGTGACAGAAACTCGGCTAAAACGACACGAGCGTGGAATGCGAAAATATTTACGAAACGCAATCGCATTTCTCCCAATAACACAAATATTGGCTGGTGAGTCAAGCCGTTCCTTCTCTTCTTCGTCGATTCACACCCGTACCCGATCCAATTTCGACGTTCGCGTTGCGTTTTATTTTAAATCGTTGTCCGGAGTGTCTAGTTGCGAGCAGGAAGCGCGAATCGAAGGCACACGACGCGACATGCGCATGCGCCTTCCCGGCCGCGTGACCCAATTTCGACCCAACGACTTAGCGAAATGTCGCGGGAATGATTCAACGCTCGCAATGGCCATTGTCGTTTTTATTGTTGTTGTTATGTAATTCGAAACGAGATCTCGACACGCGTCGACATGCATCGCGAAAATGTTGCGTGTCAGCGGACGATTTCTTCGCAGCTTTTTTCTTTTTCCTTTTCTTTTTTTTTTCGCGTTGCAATTCTATACGATTCGGAGATAAGGCCGGGTTCCGTTGTATGTTTAGGTATTTCGTTACGTTTGCACTAGTTTTTCGCGACGGAGTCTTCTTCTAGAGGTGCACATGGTATCAAGAGAATTGTTATCTTACGATTATCGTTGTCCAACCAATGATTTATCGTGGAATAATTTAAAAATAAAATAGAAATACTGAATCGTTAGAAAAATCTTTAGAAGTAATTTTTTACATACAGGAAGTTGATATATAAACTAATCTGACCTAATTAACTAAGCGAACGAGACTGTATTTCTCCTCTAAATAAAATCAGGAAAATATTGTAGAGGAAAATTTTGCAGAATAGTTATTTCTAGTTCTAGTTCGAGCAATCAGTTTATATAAAGAATTGCAATTTGCAACTACATTGATGTTCAAGAATTGCAGCATAGAACGAGGACTCTAAATTTACTGGAATTGGAGAATTATTTATTACAGATTTAAATGTAAAATATTCTGAGACAATAATTAGCTGAGTAAATACTTGAACAATAATTGTGAATTCGAAGATTAATTCGCATCACGAAATAAATTTTATATTCTGGCCTGAATTACTTAAATTTTTATATTGTTAAATTTTCAAATAATAAATTAATCGTTTGATGTGAATTGCCATAAAGCATCTTTCTAATTATAGGAAATTTGTGTAGATTATAGGCCTCTCGATAATAATTTTTCACCACGTCCATCACTACCTGAACAGAAAGCGTCAAGAAGAAGATCAGTCTGTTCCCGATTTGCCTCAAGAAACAAATGTGATTTTCTTTATCTATCCACTGTGCATGCTCGTGAGCATGATATTCGCAGTACTTTGGCTTTCCACGGATATCTTCATGAATGATCCTAGAATTGTTAGTAACTCTATGATGATCACACTTCTTCAAAGTAACTTCTGCTTTCCTGTTCATCCAAATGCAAATAATCTTTACCATCCACTAATTTTTATATTTATTATATTCTGTAACAAATAAATAATATATTTCTTTGTCCCCAAATTATTCAATATTTGTAAAAATTATTTATATTGTCCATCACGTATGTATGCAGGTTCTTATAGGATGCTTCATAGTAGCTGCCTTAATGCTAACATTCGGTATAATCGAAATGAAACACGTAGATATGTATCTTGACTTGAGCAAGATCAGCGACGATGAATTGCTAAAGCACCCCATTTTTATTCACAATTTTATCTTGTGCTTGCTATCGGTGTTCTGCATGTGCATATATCTCATACAAGGTTGGATTTTGATAGATTATTATCTCTGGGTACGTTTGAATTATTCACACTAATTTCAGCTTAACATCTTAACGAAATATAATATATTCGATGTTCGATATTCAAATGTACTCATACGTATAATCGTAATAGGTTAGATAATTATTTTTGTCGCAGATAAGAAAACAGGAAGAAATTAGAGATACCACTGACGATTTACAAGTTTCTGATTCTGAAGAGGAGGAAGATTCTGACTCCGAAGAAGATAGAAAATATAAGAGCAAAGAGAAAGAGACACTCGGTGAATTGGATCCAATCCCCGTCTTGGAAATGTTTCCTTCTGTGACAATGTCAGAGACACTGGTAAGTAACAAATTCTAAAAAAATTCTTCATTTCTATCACTGTATAATTATACCTTGCTATGACATTAATAGTGCAGGAATAAAATATAAATAATTATTTTTATATAAAGTAATTATTTCATTAAAGTTATTTAGTTTTTACCGTACCTTAATTAAATATGTTATTAAATTCGCAAATGTTTCCTTTGTTGCATCGCAGTCGAGATATATCGTGTCTATAAGTCAATCCTCCCGCCATCTGTGGAGCTATCATCTAGTTAGAATCCTACAGAACACTTCCCTACTGTTGATAATGTCACTCAATTTATCCTGAATCACAAATGAGAGCTCATTTATGCTTTAAATCAATATACTATCGTAATCGTTGTTAAGTGATAGATTACTAGCATTTATTCTTTAATTTTAGAAAAATAAAAAATCGCGAAATATGGTAAATGAAATAATATAAAGAATATATTATGATTTCTAGAGTATAGATGAAGAAGATGTTATTTTTTATTGCTGTTTTGTCGATTGGTATAATTATCTAAAACGCAGGAAACAAATGCAACAACCTCTACACGAATTTCAAGTAATTCATGTTATGTAATTTGTTTCGAGATGAACTATAGTTTCGTATACGTATAGAACGTACATTTGTAATAAATTATTCGTAATAAAATATTATTTCATGCAAGATATTTGAATAGAATATATATAATTAGTATAATTGATTAAAACAATAAAGACACATAAATACTCTATAAATAATTAAGGTTCAATAAATTATAATTTATAAAATGAAAAAATTTGAATGATTTCAAGGCAGTTAAACTTACAAAAATCTTCGTTTGCCCTCATGCTCCGATGTATATATTTTCTATGTCGTCTGAACTTGGTATCGTTGCACAATCATGTTGTCCCCGGTTATCGTATTAAATATATCGATATATCCAAATGTCGTCGAATATATTTAACATTTTGTGGATGTAGTTACAGGTTAGAACGAATGCTCGCGAATAAGAATTGATATTTATTCATATGCTAACGCGTATATGTCACTTCACTGTACACGAACAATACTAATGTATTCCCACGAATGTCTAACGGTCAACAGGTTAAGAATGGTTACTAACATGTTAGCGAATATATTTCTGAGTGTTTTAACTATGAACTCGCGTGTAGGTTAGCATGATTTCGCGTCGACGATTGAATAATTTCGCTTGTGATTACTTATACATTTTCTCGTATATTCGTAAGGTTAAGCCCACATTTTCACGACTAGCAGTGTATTTGCGTATACACCTGCGAGTTTCCACGCACATTTTCCCGACTATTATTGCATAAATTTTAACACACATATTCACTACTATTTTTTAAAGTTTCGAATAATCAATTTTTGCTGCGGAAACCGTTGGACAATTTCGCGCGCGTTTGTCTATTTCGTATTGTTAAACCTACTAACTGCGCATGTGTAATCTTTTGTAACTGCTCATGCGTACATTGGAACTATATTATATAATACTGCGCATTTATTTATTTAGAAAAAAATTATAAATATTCATAAATTATTGCAAACTATTTTATTATTTATGTACATGCAGTCATTTATTAATTATAATGTAATTGCTTATTAAATTATAATTACAGATCTGAATTTGAACTCTTACTATATATTTTACTATGTACTTCTACAAATGAAGTATAGAGGACATTCAAGATAAATTTTATTTCACTTGTATTATTATAAATTAAGATACATCGATTATGATAACACTAATTGAAATCTGGAAAATAAAATACAAGTTCAAAAGTAGTATTCACAATATAGAACATTTACACTTTTGCTTATATTTAAAAAAATTAATAGTAAAATAATAAAAGGTAAAATTGAAGATAGTCATTTATTTTTATAATTTGTATTACTTTATGCTGATTATTTTAACAACAGTCGAACTGTCGAACCTTCCTTATCAACAAATGGGAAAGAGGTTTAGAAATAGATTCAGAAGTAGATTTAGAAATTGATTAAAAATTAGACAGAGTTGGTCTATCTTAGACCTTACTGTGCCTTCAGCAACTCCATTTGTATATAATTTAGTTTTAATTCCAACCACTTTAATGTTGCAATTTTATTCTATGCTGA